CATTTGCACTCAGATAGTTTCACGATCATAACGTTTATTTCAGATTCAATTAATATCATATTCAGAATTAGCACGAAGATCTAATTTTATCTAATTGCATGCTTAATACTTAAAGTAAGTCTTAGCCAATTTTGAACTGTAGGGGAGGCACAGACTATAACATTTGAATGCAAAAAGAAGAGTGAAAAACGAAAGTTGGTTAAGACTTACTTTAAGTATTAAGCATGCAATTAGATAAAATTAGATCTTCGTGTTAATTCTAAATATGATATTAATTGAATCTGAAATAAACGTTATGATCGTGAAACTATCTGAGTGCAAATGTGTATTTATGATGTACTTTTCTATCAAATCGAAAAACTCATTTCCACAACAGATAAACAATATTTTTCGAAAAAAACATGCATACTTTTTTTTTTACTATTTTTCCAGCATAATCAAAAGAAATACTTGGATAAGCATGGAGACTACCATAACTTTATGATTTTAGCGTATTTCAATTTTGATAGTACTTTCTGATCTTTTTAAACCTTATTTTCATACGTTGAACTTGAAAAGCACCGTCTGTATATGTAAAAAATGTAAAAAACAACATTTCTATAGGTGCAGTCATGATTTGTGTTTAATCACAAAAAATAAAAAGCTGCATAAATTCTTTCCTTAAATTTTCATTCGTCAGCACCTTAAATAGCAAACCTTTTCTCTTCAAATATTATTCTTAATGAAATAACAGAGGATTTCTAGCCAGTTTTTCTGCACAATACTCACACAATCGTACCTTTCATATATTGAAATATACATGTGATATGACATAGAGACGAACGATTTCATGAATAGCATTTAAAATGAAGTGAAAACTGTTTCTTACCTTAACATCGAGAATAAATCCACCATTATTATCACCAAGTTTGTTATGAATATGACGTTGAAGAGCAGCAACTTCACGAGCCATTGATATGAAAATACGTACTTTACGAAGAAGAGCATACACACGAAGAAGAAATTTATAGATTTCTTCATTATTTCGAGGATTTACTATTTGACTATTATCCTCCGATAGTTCAATGTCTAAATAGTCTTTCGTCTGAACAAAAAATGAAGACGAAAGATTATCAGAATATGATGAAGTGTGATTGAGATGTGCAAGATTTTGATTATCATCATCTATACTATTTTCACCACCCAATGAAATTGATGAAATACATTCTGGAAGATCAGATGTCAATTCATCATCTTCGTCATCAATTAAAGAATCAGTTATTTCATGATGAGCTGAATCAAATGGATATCTATGTAAATTTAACAATATTAATAACATAATTGTTACCAGTACATGTCTTTTTAACTGAGCTTTTGAGAACCTTATGACGAGTTCCTAGTTTTTTAAAGCTATTTTCTAGTCTGTGAGAAACGAAAGTAATAATAGATTGTATATTTTAATCTAACATTCAGTTAGACAGTTTCTCGGGGCTATTGTTTCCTTTTGAGAGAAAATTATAACTTACTTCTTCGGATCTGGCTTTACCCATAAGCATAAGGCATGATGCACCGTTAAATTTAAGCAGTGAGCCAAACATGCAAAGCGAGGGCCAAATATATTATAAGATGCAGCCGACTTTATGTTCGGACCGTTGTCGGTTGTTATTCCTGCTAAAATTCTTGTATTTAAGTTAAATCGATCACGTTCATGTTCAAAAAATCCTCGTATATTAACTGATAGTTCCCGTTCGTGAAAAATATGAAATGATATCGGTAACGAGATATATTCGAAATCAAATGTAAATGTATGAACAGACAGAGAGATCATATGATGACGTGAAATATCTTTCCAAATGTCACTTGCAAATGCTAATGGTCCAACATGAGGCAAAATACTTTTAAGATCATTAACATATTCATTATATTCACTTATTATACGAGATGATAATGTACGTCTATCAGGTGGTGTATATCCCGGTTCTAGAACGTGAAGAAATTGAATAACAGCATTATGATTAAACATATTATAAGGTAAACCAGCTCCAATAATACATTGTAATAGAGCTTCATCGATTTCATGTTTTCTTTGCAGACTTAGTGAAATAACAGAAGTTATATTTTTTTCTGAATTTCGTTGATCTTCTTGTGATTTGAATGCATAATCGTTCATACCATGAACAAGAAGATGCGATCTCAAGTTTGCCGTACTTCGCTTGTACTGTCGTATTATCTAATTTAAATCAACAGAAGACAATCAATTTTTGATATATATAAAAGTTTTATTCAACTTTAATTGACACAATAATGAGAACATTAACAGTTTTTAAAATCATTACAATATTCTAATTTATATTTGTCATTTCAAGATTTTTAACATTTTTATTCATAAAAAATGATTCTCATACGACTACAAATAATTTATAAACACATAAGGATTCTTTAAATCAAAACTAGCTTTAGACAAAGACTAAAGGTTTACCTTCTGTTCGTCTACACATAATAAACATTTGTACATTCCATAAGATTGCATCTCGAAGAATTTCAAAACTTCTTCTGCCTTTTTTTTCCCTGAAAAAGTTGTTGTAATTTTCGGTGGAAGTACTTTATCAACTTCAAATGGATGAATTAATTGAACAGAATTAGTTGTAGAATTTAGATTTTGATAATAATCACGATCGAGAACATCAGTACCAGATTGTGTTGTTATCATTTCATCATTTTGATCCAAGTTTTGAATATCTTGAACATTGTTTTCGGATTTGTTAGACGATGATAAAACATTGGTAGAATGAATGTTTGGATCAGCTACGACTTTTCTTCGATGATGACTCCGTCCTAAAAAGATAAAGTAATAAGACAAGGGGAAATTATTAACTAATTTATAACAGATAATGCTTAACTAAAGTACTTGTTTCGTAACTTAACAGATATTGAAATACAGGTATTCCCAAAAAACTTTTACAGGTCTATTCAGTTAAAATATGATTGATAAGTAGCTGCCAATGAGAATATGCGACCTACTGGAAAGTTTTAGTCAGCTCTCAGACAAATAATTTAAGAAAAAAACAAGAGATCGATAAATCCTCTTTTTTTTCATTTCGATAAGTATTCATTATCAAGGAACAAAGCTTTTTCTATTTGTAGAAATTCGAAAGTTTGAAATAAAAATTCTGCTTTATTTTTCTTCCAGTTCTTACTAAAATCGTCATCTATGCATAATGCATTTTAACTTTTTCCCAACCGTTACCCGTAGATAATTTACTGAAGTATAGGTTTTATGTAGACAATTATAAACTATTTCAAAGGCAAAAAGAATTCTGACACATATTTTGCATACCGGAAGAAGATCGATGTTTTGAACGACGAGTAATCGATGAAGATACAGTTTCATTTGATAAAGTACGATGCAACGATCGATTTAATGTAGATGATCTCGATATTCTAATTTGTGATTGTGATCGATCACCACGTCCACGAGGAGGCAACTTGACCAAATTTGATGGATTATCAATATTTGGGTCATACATCAGATCAAGATACAACAAGTAACTATGTCGATTGAAAAATTGAATTCAAATGTGTACTACACACTAATCACGATTGTAAATAAAGAACAGAAAATGATGAATAAATTCAAATAGAATGAGACAACAATTTTTCCTTTTCTCTTGCAGTACATTTTTCTTCCTAACAAAGACATGTACATATTTCTTTCTTTCCTACTCAGCATCAAGAGACGTGGTGTCAGTATCGAAAAATAATTGACCGTTTGTTTATCTTCTTCAACGCGTGACGATAGTCATGTGCTTCTGATATCAACCATATATATATATATATATATGTCGTATCGAAGTTACACCGGTCGACGAAGTTATAACTTCGTCAAGAATGTTGACGAAGTTACAACTTCGTCATATAAATGTGACGAAGTTATAAATTCGACGATGATCGTCGTCGAATTTACAACTTCGACAGAGAAATTTGTCGAAGTGAATTTTGATTCATTTATCAATAAATAATTTACTTCATTGAATATCCGGTACTTCTTCAGATCGACGACACCCTCTCTCATTGGTCGTGTGATAAAGAGGAAAGGATAATTATCCTTTCCTCTTTATCACACGACCAATGAGAGAGGGTGTCGTCGATCTGAAGAAGTA